GAGAGGGACAGGAAGCCCGATGTCCCCTGAAGTAATCAAATCTTGAAAAAAAACCTCATTATTATACATATAAGCAATTTTGTTCAATACAATGCGGTCTTAGTTTAAAGGTATATTCATTGCATTTTGAATTTTTTTCCATTATTTTCGTTGAATTCTTCATATGGAGACTCTTTGAAATRCTACAAATGACAAGTTCGGTTTATATTTCAATACAAATTTGCAAATGTAGACTTGCCACAAATAGGAATCTCTTAGGAMTCAAAAAARAGAAAGAAAGAAAATTTAGAAATTAGCAACTGAAAAAAAATTCTTTTTTTCKGAATTGCTATAAGGGACTGAWGTGAAAGTTAATTGCAAATTCTATATTATTCAAATTGCAGCTAAAGAAGGCTTTTATGTTAAGTCAACATTATTTTCACTTGTACAAAAACAGGCTGATGCAATCTTGCTTTCAGTTTGATTCTAAAAATACATTCTAAAAATAACACAATCTGCTACAAGAAATACGGCTCCTCACTGTGCTGAAGAGTCCTTCGCCCCAGGAATCAGCTTTAAACCAAAAATGAATGACTGCCAATCTCAAATTCATATGCTTGTATGCCGAATATGTTTTATTAATATTTTTGCTTTTTTAAAGCAAAATTTTAATGTTATTCTCATAAGCAAACTTTAAAAATTTTCAAATTTCTTCATCGAAAATGTTGACATTTCATCCTGTCCAACAACATAGCAACATAGCAACSGTTGTTAAGGGGCTTCAACAATGAAAACTGGCTATATMATTAGTACAGGATGCTTCTATAGAAGCCACTAATCAGACTGAACAACAGCATGATTAAACAATGTTGCGCTTCCGTCTTTTTGTCTTTCGCAACGTGCAGTGGGACATGACCAAGCAGCCCGCACCATGATCGTAACTCWATTTTCCATGCCATCTGCGAAAAATTCAAATCAATGTGAATTCAAACAGTGACTAATAAGATCCTGTCGTTCAATTTTTTGATTCATAGGACACGCTATGTATCAGCTACCTCAAAATTCGCTTTTACTACAGTGCTATAAAAAATATTTGGGTTTGTAAAATATTTCACTCGACTTTGTCTCGTATCGCATTTTCTTCTTCTCGTCATATTTTGACGTCTATTGCGAACATTTTAGAAAACAACAGATGCACAGAGAAATAGAATCTATTTGTTTTATGTAAAATTTTCCCTTATGTTATTTCCGGAGCCCGCTTAATTTCATTGAAACAATTGAATGAACACAACAGAGCCACGCACTAGGTTCTGACCAATCAGAGCGCACGTAAGAAATGGCGTCGTTGGTGCATGCGAACTTTGATAACGCACTATTCTAGATCAACCCAAGACCAAATCTCTACCAAAGATTATGTTAAGCTTTATAGCTGATTTTTTTTAACATAGAAGATACAGATACATCAATCTACTAATTGTAGCTCTTGAATAACGCATTTGTKATTATACCCTTTTCAATCCTCAGTCACCTTCTCATCAGGTTGGTCACCGGTTGACACATGGACGAAATAATCTTTGCTTTCCATCAATCAAATGAGATTGTTAAATTCCTCGCTCGCTCAACTGTCAGCCAATGAAATTAAATGTGGGCTTGAAAGTTAGTTTTCACTTACCGGGAAGAACGAGCCCGCGATTCATAAGTACGGAGCAATTCAAATTAACTATACAGAAAAGGTGGTTTATCTCTAGAAATCATAAAAATAGGACTTKTTCAGAAACAAGGATCAAATGTACAGGACAATACAGTCAACTCTCGGTATTACGGACTACCTCGGGGACCGTGATTTAGTGTTCGCAGTAGCGAGAGTCCGTAACGAGAGTTACTTTCAGTCATTTCTTTGTATTTTTGGCGCCGGGGATTCAGTATTTTACTTTCCGAGGTGTCCGTTGTAGCGGGGAGTCCGTACGGCGAGAGTTGACTGTATTTATATGTCGAGAATAAACAKTATCATTTGTTGATGTAAATCATATCAAGCGCATATTGATAATGAAAAACTGACAACCAACTTCAGAAATTGACAGATGTTTTATCCAGACGCCGAAATCAGTTGCTGTTGTCGGAGAAAGATTGTATAAACAGAAATGTTTTTTAATTAACAATATACTAAATATACCGTATTTTACAAACATATTCTTACACAATAGCAAGATAAACAATGTACAACAGTACCGTGTTGAAAAAAAATTCTATATGAAAAATGTATTCAACATGGCATGCTTTGGCAGCTGCTCTAGACTTTTTTCAGTTTTCTTTTTTCATTCTGCCTTGTCAATGAGGCAAAATTTACAAGTCGAATATATATAGCTTAAACTATATACCTGTAATCTTACAAAAACGTTGACCCAAATTAAAATAAAATATATATTAAAAAAGACAAATTCATATTATAAGCGTTACCTTTTCACGTAGACGTGTGAAGAAGTCATGCCGAAATACTTATGAACATTTGATGAAGAAAAATCTAGAAAGCTTGGCTAATTATTCAACTTGAGCATAAATTTCAAAGGGTARAGTACATTTTTTKAGTGTTATTATTATTYATTTATTTATTTTTTGTTAACAATTGTAACGGATTTCATTTTGCACTGAAGAAGATCTGAGACCTGATCGAAACGTCTGAATGAAAACCATTAAGCTAGAGACAACCAGATATCTGTACTATTTTATCTTCATTTGAATTGATCAGCCATTTTGAGAACAAGTGTTTCTTTGTTAAAAAAAATAMTTTTAAAAAAACTTTGCAAGAACTTTTATTATCGGTAACTTGTGAACCTGTTTCGAGTTTGCGGCGATAACTCATCAAGGATGTGAAAGATATTTCATTGAAAATATAAATTGACATACTGGACAATTKCCATATATTTACCAAAACTCAAGGACCTGCMAGACGGAAACTTCAAAGCTRGTTGAATTTTTTTTTAATTAAATTTGCAAACTTTTAATATTAAGCAATTCCAGGGTCAATTGGTAAAAAAGGATCGGATATTATATTATCGACCATTAATCTTTAAAAGAGAATACTCCATTTTCGAATTGAAAGCGAAAAACCGCTGTTTTATTTGACAGCAGATTCTCTTGCGCAAAGACCTCACCAAACAAGAAAATATAGTACAGTAAAATGGTGACTTTTGGAGTCACYGCCAGGAGAGGTACCGTGACAGTACCGTGACCTATCTTATTCGCACATTTGCACATACGAAAGCCAGGCCTAACCCTGTTTCATCAGTCGATCCCATGCCGTATGTCTTCTCTATCAATGGCCACCAAAATCTCGTAGAGATGTAGAAATAATTTGATGTTACAAGCGACCACACCTATAGCAATACTAACAACTAATAATCGTTATTAGCTATGATTACATAGCTATTATTCAGAATTATTCTMGAAATTAACGATAAGCAAGCACAATTTATTTACTACATTTATTACACTATTTCAGTCCATGTATATATACAATATACAGTGTTGTTATCAATACATTTGATCAAATGAAAATGAGGTGAAATGAGACAAATTGTCGTCAACATTGAAGTAAAAATTACAATAACAGCCAGAAAGCAAGACATCAAGCAAAAAATAATAATAAATTATCTCTATACATTTGCTTTTAACGGGCTTCCCGGTCCATATGACAATGAACAGCCCAAAAATCACAACTCTTGCTACAAAACAAAAGTGCGTGTTTTGAGTTTATTTAAGAGTCATGACCTGTGTACGTAGCCGTATTACAAGGCGCCACCTGTTCAGAATGACATTTTAATGYAAAATCAAAGTCCTTTAGGAAGCAAAGAGCGTTGTTATATGATATMAACAAAACAGTTGCACTGCGCGACGTTCTTAWAATTTCGTACAGAAATCATTATTCTTCACTTAAACGAAGAATTTAAATCCAGAAAAGTTATAAAATAAAGCTGGGTCTTACCACATTTGTTCTGCTTTATGAGAAATTCCACTCCATACACCTCCCCCCTCAAAATATCCCAGCCCTTCCACTCAGGCAAGGTTTCTTACTCAGAGGGAAATAAACTTTTTGGCATAAATCGTTCAGTATTAGAAGGAGCGACCTAATAAGATTTAACATATACCAATTCATGACCTTTTAAAAATATATTTAAAAATATGTATATGCATTATTTAATATGGTTTTCAAGAAGGTTGATTGTCGTGTGGGCTACCTGTGGTCGGTTATTTTTACAACGCCGAACAATTTACAAATGAAGCAATGAATAATGGCAGCTGCTCAAGGTCAGAATTCAAACATGKACAATAGATATATATAAAGCCTACGTCTAACCGTGGTTAAAGCAGACTGTCTCATCGCCGATGAATGAGTTGACGTTAAGAGTCAAGGGCGCCGAGATACAGTTAACGCCGAAGGCTCCATGACAGTTCTTAAGTACTTTATATATTCCATGATTATGTAACGATTCAGAGTGGATTTGTTCGCGATATGGTGTACGGTTTACTACTGGAGAACATCCATACACTTTTAGTAAACCGCTATGGGTCAGAAATATGGCAGAAGATACGAGACCAYGCAGGGATCCAGCACCATCACTTTACAACACATACGATTTACTCTGACTCGATATTTCAAAGACTGGTTGCATCTGCAGTGGAGATAACTGGAGACTCCAAAAACAACATCTTAGAAGCGACCGGTGCTTTATTTGTGAGTTTTATCGGTCAATATGGCTATGATAAAATACTCAGGGTATTAGGAAGACATATTCGAGACTTCTTAAATGGCTTAGATAATTTACATGAGTTTATGAGGTTTACGTACCCAAAGCTTAAGGCACCTTCGTTCTTCTGTACTGAAGAAACAGAAAATGGGATGAAAATCCACTATCGATCGTCTAGAAAAGGCTTTCTGTACTATGTCATCGGGCAGATTAAAGAAGTAGGGAAGCTTTATTACGATCAAGATGTTGAGGTCGAAGTCCTCGGCGAACGAGAATCTAAGGATGGATTTTCGGCTGTTATGCAGCTTCATTTTGACAATAAAGCTTTCATAGCATCTCATCGACGTCCAAAGAGACACTCGGTGATATCACTTAGCGAGGATCCAGATAATGTTAATATTAGYATGGGAGTCTTCTACGAGGTTTTCCCCTTTCACATTGTATATGATCACTCAATGGTCATTACTAGTACTGGYTCAAGCTTGAATGCTGTTTTGCCAGGGCTGATTGGAAGAAAAATTACGGATGAATTCTCGCTGATCAGACCTTTCCTGGAGTTTTCCTGGGAAAATGTAAGTAATTATTTCCCTATTTTCTCTATTTTATTCTCTATTTTGATTTGAATAAGTATAAACAATCTTTGATAAAAGACTTGAAAAGAACAATAAATATCCGCCGCCAAGCATAACCTAAAATTTTTGTTTTCYATGTTTACATGTTTTCCTAGGAAATTATTMTCCTCAAGTCTTGCTTTTTCGAGTTTAGAAAAAATATGAGACATCGCTCGATCATAGATAGTATAAATAATAACAACAATCTCGCTGGCAACGATTGGTTTGTGCCGGCTAAAGTCCGACGACTCAGAGGATGAGTATGGTGAGCTATGTCTGGTGAGCTATCCTTGCGAGACATTCTTCTTCTTAATTTTATCGATATAAAAAGAGCGATTCTAGTTAAAGAATAGCAAAGTTAATCGCTGAATTGACTCAGGATTAACAAARCTACTTGAAGTTGCTATGTTACGCTTGATCGATACAAAATGTTTTCAATCTTGTTCCAATCGAAGTAATCTAATCCTCTCAAAGCGTCTCTTCGACCGCAAAAATTCATCAAAACATATGCTTAAATATTATTCTCCAAGCTAAACACAATTCACAAAAGTCTCAATATATGATTTTCCTTCTCTCTGTCCATTAAAATTAAGTGGCAATTCCCACCTTATTAATTACCACCCTAGATTTTTAACTTGAATTCGATACATTCCTATCATTTTACATCGMGTTTATCTTCGTAATATCGATCGATTTATTAAAATCTTGAGTAAAAACGTGAGCCACTGGTACCTTGCGAAAAAAAATGCGTTATTTTAACAAAAGAAAACTAAAGTAAACGTACAAATAGTCCAAAATAATATTCGTCTGCTAATATTTACGGTTTTTATTGAACACACTCTAGCAGTTTTACTGTCGATTCAAGGCACTTCATTAATTCAAGTGCAAGACATACTATACAATTATTTTACTTTTTGCTAACCATCTGTCCAGGGGACCTGAAAAATACATACGGCATTTAGTAAACGGAAACTAAAAAGCTAGATTTTAAGCTCACTTTAATTGCCTAAACGATATCACATTTATCACTTATATGCAATCATTTTAATTTTTTCTTTTTTTTTCATTAATGAAACATTTAATAGTTAGTATCAAAATTGATCAATTTCTTAGGTATCAAAACTTCGTGTTTAAAATCATTTTTTTAGAATCACATGTATTTTTTTCTATATTAATGTGCTCTAAAATAAATGCAACAAGCCAAGTTGATTATATTGTAAATACTATCTGGAAAAAAATGGCTTTTAGCCGCGATTGCATGCATGTACAGTGTAGCATAGATCAGTCACGTATATACGCCTATTGTCAAAACGTTAGTGGACCTTATAGTGTTGGTGTTGTGAAATCCTTGAAGTTAAGATCAAAGAGGAATTTGTCAATTCTGAATGCGTATTGGCTTTGAAGTTATAACAATTTATTATAGTCTAGCGTTTTTTCAATTAAGTATAATTTTGGCGATGAAGTATGTGAAATTATATATAATATTTTTATTCTTTTAACTATGATGAATTAYTACTACTCATCCCCCACTTTGTTCGTGTAATAAAGTTTTGATATGTTTTGACATGTTTGCTTGATCAATTAAATTAAAGAAATGACATTTCAAAAAAAAATAAAATGACAAACCAGATATTACTAGCATACTGTGAAGTATTACAGCATTAGTGCTAAAAGGCTCAAGACGTTCTAAGCACTTTATTTAGACAATTTGTAATAAAAATACCCCCTATCATTTCCTTTAGATTTATCAAATTGTTAAACCATCTATTAATTAAAATTATAAAGTGACAGAAAAAAAGACATCTGAGATTTGTTGATTTCTATGGTGACAAATAAATTAATTCACTTTTAATAACAGGCTCTTATTACTTTTTTAGGTACATTTTGCAATATCTCGATATAAAACAATAATTATATTATGTTGTACAAGAG